TACAATACAATACAATACAATACAATACAATACAATACAATACAATATAATACAATACAATACAATATAATACAATACAATAAAGTTGAATGCAATACAATACAATACAAGACAGTACTATACAATACAATACAATATAACACAATACAGTACCGTCTGCAGTCTCTGTCTACCTGCGTAGTGGGAAAGCTGGGTAACAAGAGCTGTAGTCATTCCTACCACTAAGTCTCTGGAAAAAAAAGGTTTTCCTTATTTTCTCTGCTTCAGGAGATCTCCAAACTTGCTCACTAAACTGCCAGTGTTCTCACATATCCCAACGGGATCAAGGATTGAGACATACTTCTCACTGTTTTCTCCCTGTTCTGCATTCCCAACATATCCACGTCAGCTCATTTAAATGTAACTCCATTCACTCACTTGGCTTCAAAAAGTTGAGTTGACTGGTCGAGTTGAAACTGAATTTTGTAAAAGCTCATTAGAAAATGGAAGAAAGATCATTAGAAATACAGCGTATTTATGAGGAACTGCAACTTGTTGCCACCTGTGGTCTGCAGTGAGGAACTCCTCTGTAGTCACAGATCAGTCATTTCACTGAAAAGTCTTTCTAAAATAGATGGGCTCTGACGTTTGAGCAAATAAGCAAACACTGGAATTAAATTCAGCATGGAAATGATTCTGAATGATTAAATCTCTGGAATGTTTTCTCTTTTCCTTTTAAATGAATGGGTTAACGACTCTTTCTTCGCAAACACAACACATACAATCTGAAAAAGCCCAAGAAGATGCTATTATGCATCACGGACAAAAATGTAGAGACAGCAGAATTTGCATGTCATCTCATATTTAGGACAGTAAGCATGGTTCTGACTCAGGCCTGTTTAACAGTACAGAGAAATCGGAGTGAGTTTCAACTAAAATATCTATAAATTGCTATATGAACGTATGCATTCTGAAGCATTTTAGTTTCCTTAATGAAAAAATGAAACAAACACATAAAACAAACAGCAACATGTCAAGATAAAGGCAACCGTCAGAGCTCTTTCATTATGCCTAACGGCCAGTCAGTGACATTGCCTTTGATGGGGGCCATTCCAGACAGACAAAGGGAGCCAGAGATGCTCACTGACATTCACACACGTCCAGCAGGCAGCCTTCTCTTTTTAGGGGAAAAAGACAGAATGCAAGCAATGCCATTTCTTTAGTTTGTCAAGGGCATTTGAATGTTTAACACTTTTCTTTCTTTTTTTGGAGCGTAGGGAAACCATCTTTAAACCTTAAAGCCAGAACAGAGCTTGATGGTGCCCAGAAAGGTGCTTATTCTTCCAGCTTTGAGCGTATTATGTTTAGCAGAGGTGTCTGTCCAATCCAGAAAGTCAGGAAAAAAAACTATGCCTTATAAAGCAACAATGACATGCAACCATATCCTGTAAAGAAAACCAGATAGATGGACAGGTCACCAGCTTTTTCTATTTATTTTTTTTACCTCGGATTTGATGAAATCTGGAGAGGATTTCGGTGTCAGTTCAAAATACGGTATAAAAGATGAATAATAATCCACTGTGTCTCGTACATGCTGCTTTACACCACAGCTAATAGCTACTAATACTGTCATAAACTGAAGAAAGAACTAACTGATGCAGGGCTGTTGGCACTTTTTGAAGTTGTTTCGATGATTGAACTTAGCAGTAACAGCTGTATTGTGGCTTGTTATCTTTTTTATTTTTAATTGAACCTATGTTTACATCACCACAATGATTAACTTACAAATGCTTACACAAGAAGTGAAGGCACCTGGAATTTTTAGGGAGAAATTATGATAATTGTTGGATGAAATTGGGGTACATTATGATTTGGCACTGACATCATTATAAGGCAAGGGAAGTTTATTTTTATTCTACATTTCATCTACAAGACAATCCAGAGTGCTTTTTGTAACCACTTAGCTGACTCTGTACCTACATCCTGTTAGACCGAGCATCTCCCGTATTGTTCTCTTTCTGTGCCATTACAACAAACAATCCCCAATCAAGCCTGTGTTATGCCTTTATTCAGATATGACGTACAACAATAAAAAAGCACAGATGTTAGATGAATGGCAGCCTGATGCACAAAGCGGATCCCGGACATTGTTCTCCGTTTGGCCCGCTGAAACAAGATGAAACAGATAAACGTGATCCAGTGTCGGGGGGGCCTCGTCCAGCGCATTCCTGCTAATATTGTGAGTACTTGGTAGACGGAGCGGTGTGTTGCCATGGAAACCGGCGCTGCTCAAGCTCATGATATTCCCCCGTGAATGGAGAGCAAGAGCGGCTCCGGCACGGCCATTTGTTCCGCTGGTAGAAACACTGATGGTGGCTTACAGGCTAAGATGTGCAGGGGAGAGCTGTCCTGATCTCAGGTCACCACACAGGGGGAGGGGGGGTGGGGTGATGAGACAGTCACTACGGATGATTCACACTACGATTCTGCTCTCTATTTTTTGCTTTTGCGACCTCCAGAGCAGCCCTGCACACGCAATAGACACGGTTGGAGGAGCGCTGCATGGAGCTGTAAATCACCTCTTGACAGCGGCATAAGCTCCATTACTCAGTACACAATGGGAGTTTTTGGAACGTTACATAACAGTAATGTTGGAGAGCTTTGAAGGTGATGCTTTCAAATGTCTCGCAGTCATTTCTCCTGGGAGTGTTTCTCACTGCGTACAGTCCGTTTCGATCAGCTAGCCATCTGTGGTTTTAGGCGATGGTAGATTGATTATGGTTTGTTAAACTTTGGTAGTTTTTGCTGCAGCTTTACGGCCCCAATTCCAAGAAACGCTGGGGTGCTATTGAAAAGCAATAAAACGCAACGTATTACAAATTTCAAACTAATGTTTCATCAGAACAGAGCACAGAAAAGTGTATGACTACACATACCTGGTGATCCTGCCTAAAGCTATTTGTTACTATTGGTGGTCTTTACCTTTGAAAAGAGTAAAAGAAAAAAAAAAAAACATACATTTATCTACCTTTATAGATGGGTTTATGGAAATGTGTAACAGAAACAATGGTTGCCATAAAAGTGAGAGCTAAATATTGAAATTGACACAGTTGAGAGTGTGGAAATTCATCTTTGACACCCTCCCTGTTCCATTTCAGAGCATCAGCTCAGATTTTTGCCTCCCCGTGGGTGCTGCGAAGCTCCTGATTACCCAGGAAATATCACAGCCTTGATTGTGCGACAAAGTGTTGTTGACTTTCAGAAGTGTGGCTGATGGCATGTGTTCCTCAGGCATTCTCCTGCAAATTCAGGTGGAAAATGTGTCTCACCATGGGGGTTGAATCTGCTGACTGGGCATTACAAATGAAATGCCAGAGTCAGGAGGCCTATTATAATGATATTATCTGTATGCAAGCCTTGTTTGTGTTTCTGACACTCACAAATTGTCAATTCATCCTTTCAATCGCCTTCCAGACTAAAGCAGCTTTCACCCCTAATTTATGGCCCTGAGAGTGTGCAAATCTGAAAGCAACTGCTTAGTCTGTCAGTAGCTATGGAGCGAGCAAGCTTCTGCTGACTTTCAAACCTTTTCAGCCTGTACAGGGAACACATTGCATCTGTTGTTGAAAGCACTGTCCCTTTAGAGAGGTTCAAGTCGGTCCATCCAGAGCAGACGTGCCCTGATCCTGCTGAGGATGAAATCTCTTTAATGTCAGGTTTGCACGAGTTGCATCAGGTTGAATAAAATTGAGTTAAGCAACTTATTTTCAGATTCATATATGAAGATTTGAAAAAAGAAAATAAGTGCAACTTCAAAAGATGTAAATAAATTGTGCTTTGCTAATTGTGAACCAGATTTCTGTGTAACATAAACAAAAATGGGAGTTTGTGGCTTTTTTCTACTAATTTCTTTCTCATAGAAACTGTTTGTATGATCTGGAGCAATTAGAAAGACGTCTAAAACCAGAACTGGAACCTCTCTCCTCCCGAAATACGAAAGTTTGCTATGTCAATAGCATTTCAGACAGCTGTTGGCCATCACATGTGGTGAATTTTTTCAGAGCAGATTCAACAATATCAGTGTCACTGCATTACGTCATGTGATGTATGTCCAAGTTCTGAAAAACAGTTTGCTGTGGAGATGGAGACGGGGTCTCACAAGGTCACTTGTTTTTGGCCTTGCTATGAATTGCTATGAATCCCGGTAAAATATTTCTAAGCATTAGTCTTGACCCCTAAAATGAAATCATTATTTCCAGGTCAACCCTGCTAGGAAGGTGAGAAATACACTGTAGCACACCACGCATGAACATGGGAAAATGATTTTTCTTACGAGACATTAAACAAATAAGAGTATGAAAAAAATTAATTGAGTTTTTCTAGTGCTTTCTTTTTTATCAATTGTTGCTTAACAGAATATAGACAAAGGACAAAAAAAACTTGCCTTTTGACAGGAATTTCAAGTTCACGTTGACTTAACGTTGACTTAAAGTGACTGACCCAATGACTATTCTACAGACCCATTATAACGTAATTTCCACAGTAAACAGCAGCTTGTGTTGCATCTGTGTGTATTTGATGTGAGCTTCAGCTGTCTTTAGCCAGGTGTAGTATTTTCTAGCAGAGCACGTGAGAGACAATCGTAGCATCTCTGAGTTTGGCTTTGGTGGTAGTGGTGGGTGGGAGGTAAACCCGTTTGTCTCCAGGAGGGAGCGTCGGGAAAATCTAAATTTAGAAAAATGTGATGTTGCTTACATCGGAGGAACTGATGTTTTTCTGCTATGACGCAAAAGGTTGAAACGGGAAGGAAATTCTGACAAGTGTGTCATTATTGGCTTTTTTGAATATCAGTTGTCTGATAACAGAAGGAAAGAGAAATAATTTACTCTGCTGACGGCATAGGAAGAAGAAAGCTATACCATCCCTGACCTTTGGGATGGCACATTTGGAAGATTCCTGATAAGGCTGAGCTCCTTTTATCCTCATCTTGTCAGATGACTTTGCATATATGAAACTATGACTTTGTCGGTTTGGCAATTCGGTTCCTCTGAATCCTTGAAAGCTTTCATGCTGCTTAACTGTTTGACGGTCGACAAAGGACTCCTAAAGGCTAATTGTGACAAAACGACTCCCCAAGAATTAGCATAATGACATGAAATACTAGAGACTTCCATTAAAAGGTTCAAAGTATATCAACTAATTGGACAACTGTTGTTTAATTCCACCATCTTTCTCCTGTTACAGGCTTGAATCCACCGAGAAAACCCCATGGAGCATGATGTGGAGAGCCCAGCCGTCATCAGGAAGCCCAAGTTGCCTAAGCAGGCTCGCGAGGACCTGCCTAAGCAGCTGGTGGAAATGGACCGAGCTAAGAAGATCCAGCGGTATGTCCAGAAAGACGGGAAGTGCAACGTCCACCACGGGAACGTGCGGGAGAGATACCGCTACCTGACGGACATTTTCACCACGCTGGTGGATCTCAAATGGAGGTTTAACCTCTTTATCTTCGTGCTGGTCTACACAGTGACTTGGCTTTTCTTTGGCTTTATGTGGTGGCTTATCGCCTACCTCCGAGGTGACCTGGACCATCTAGCAGACAACCAGTGGACTCCATGTGTCAATAACCTGAACGGGTTTGTATCAGCGTTTCTGTTCTCCATTGAGACGGAGACCACCATTGGTTATGGATACAGAGTCATTACGGACCAATGCCCCGAGGGGATACTTCTGCTTTTAATTCAGTCAGTGCTGGGATCTATCGTGAATGCCTTCATGGTGGGTTGCATGTTTGTTAAGATCTCGCAGCCCAAGAAGCGAGCTGAGACTCTTGTGTTTTCCACCCATGCCGTCATTTCCATGAGAGATGGGCGGCTGTGCCTGATGTTCAGAGTCGGAGACCTCCGAAACTCGCACATCGTCGAGGCTTCAATCAGAGCCAAATTAATCAAGTCTAAGCAGACCAAGGAGGGGGAGTTCATCCCTCTGAACCAGACGGACATGAACGTGGGTTACAGCACAGGAGACGACCGGCTCTTCCTAGTGTCGCCACTCATCATATGCCACGAGATAAACCAGCACAGCCCCTTCTGGGAGATTTCCCAGGCCCACCTGGCGAAGGAGGACCTGGAAATTGTCGTCATCCTGGAGGGAATGGTGGAGGCAACAGGTGAGTAATCACCATGAAGCCATTTTGTGTCGTTATTGGAAAATAATTACAATACTGTGTAATTGTTCGTGGGGTTCGAATACGGCCTCTCACACACATGTTTCGACATATATTTTAGGAAGTACTGTGAAATATTGCGTTGAATTGAATTCGAGCTGAACCTGTTTAATTTGCAGAACATACAGACTGACCTTATCACTACAGTGCATGACCACAAGTGGAATAGTCTTTTAAAAGCCTTAATATGTTCTCTTATTCATGTCAGTCAGTTTAAGGCACATCATCACATTAGATATCGAAATATTTCATCCATGTTAGCATGCTGGCCTGTGTCATCTCACTGCTACCAGATTTAGAAAAATTACAGCGATAATAAAAAGATCTCTGATTCATAAAAAATCTAAATGTGTTACCCTTTCAAGGTGTCAAAATCTATTGTAATGCTGGATTGGAGGCAGCATGTTGCTTCACTGCATTGCCAATTTGTTACTAGTACTGTAGAAACAACGACTGAATCTGGATCTGTCATCTTGTGAGACACTCCTGTTCTTACAGTCTTATTTCATATCATTTTCAGAAGTTTAAACATTTTGTAGCCTGATTTCCTAAAAAGGGTTTGGCTTTATTCTACAAAAACATGTATCCAAAATCCTAAAGGTCCCACACACCAATGCATAGTGCATCCTTCTGACTTTGTTACCAGTCCTCCTGTTGTTAGCGCTCAGGTTTTCAACTACCATCATTTATTTTGTAAGGCCGGTCTGTGGCGCATTTTTAAAGCTGATCCAAGTGAGACTTTTGAATGGATTGATATGGATGGAAAATCCAATCAAACTCAATCTACGGTTCCATTTTTCACCCAAAAAAAAAAACACTGATGTCACTGCTTGCGTCCTCACAAGTGGATCTAGTCCACATTACTCTTTTTTTGCTTTGTAGCAACATCCCTGGATCTAAATTTCAAACTCTCCTTTACTCAGTTTAACACTGGCCAGTATGCCTGGTCAAGTGCTGCTGCTTGTGTATTAAACCTGTGATGTTAAAGTCCAAACTTTAAAGGTCCCAATATTTGGAGAAAGCTCATGGGCAACAAACGTATCTACATTATTCTCTATTCAGAGAGAAGCCACCAAAAACAGCAGAAATTGTTTGTTACAGGCATCTCTAGTGTTCTGAAAACTGGTCACTATGGTCCTGCTGTGGGGGTAGGAATAGAACGTGGAGTCCCAAATTGTTTGCGGATCCGGAGACAATTTTCCTGGGCCTTAATGTAGTTTCTATTTTGTAGAAAGGCTGGCTGCCTTTGTCTGGACTGTATGTCAGCAATTCTCCTCTACCAGCAGCACATTCACATTCACAGCACGGCTCTGGCACAACAAACGGGCATTCCGTTAAAAAAGGCCTTTACAAAAACAGGGCCAGTATAATCTACAGTGACACGTAGATCAAGAGTCAAAAGTAAAATGTGAAAAACGGGATGTATCGTGACTTTACTGAAGCTAAGTTTAACGTTCACAACTTAATTGCAGATTCATCCATAGATAAATCAATTGTGCTTTGCTAGTTGTGAACCAGATATCTGTTTAACGTAAACCGAAACGGAAGTTCGTGGCTTTTTACTACTACTTTTGGAAGAGTGACTTCCCGAGGAGCCAGATCCCGAGCAATTAGAAAGAAGTCTAAAACCAGAACTGGAACTTCTCTCCTCCCCAAATTAGAAAGTCTGCTCTGTCAATAGCATTTCACACAACTGTTGGCCATCACACGGGGTGACAGCTTCTAGCTTGAAGCGCTGCTGTCATCGCTGCTTAGTGTTGCTCTTCACTTAATTGAGCTCGTGGAAATAGTTTAATCCCCTTCAGACGTTCCATAATATTCTCCAGATGTTGTAACAATTAAGTCTTCTAACGCAGTTTGACAGGTAAAGAGATCGCCAGCTGTCACAGTACATTTGTTAGCTGACGTCAAAGAAATTAGAGGTGACTTCACTCTGCGACCCCCCTTTAAAAAAAAAAGAAGCCCATTTAATCGTAGACTGACGAGCCAGAACTGTTTTCCATGCTGTGGGCCCCCCCGTCTTTATCCTGAACCGCTTGGCGACACATGAGCTGTCTTTGTCAGATCATCTTAAGCTCTTTGAGGTTTTGGAGACAGTACAAAATACTTGTGTTGAATAAGGTGTCAGTAGCGATAAGTTCTGATGATTGCAGATGTTTTGGGACGGGGCGGGCAAACGCACAGACAAACGCGAACCTCTGATAAAAACCGGCCTGTATCTTCCCGAGCTAAGCCAGACCGGTTTCACGGTGAGGAGGAGACAACTAAACGTTCAGGCCAGACAGATGTTGGTTCTCTAAACGCTGAAGGCATCTGCAGGACACAGCTGCACGGCAAAGGGCAGAATGCGCAACATCTGGATGACCAACAGGGCAACGAAAGCTAACATGTAAATTCACAAATGAGGAAATGCCATGAGGACGATACCAAATCACTTTGGAAGTGTTCTACATCACATTCCATGACTACACAAGCGAAATCTCACTGGTACCTGGCGCGCAGCGGTCTGTGCCTCGGTCAGATTGTGCAAAATGAAGCGGTTACGTAACGGCCGAGTGGCGTGTTCTGACCCGGCTGTGGCAGACAGCTGAGCCCGATAAATGCCAAAACATCCAGCGAATGAAGCTGGAAAATGGCGGAGGAAATTAGATCAAATCTCAGTCTAAAGAAAATGTGTTTTGACTTTAACATTTTGTCAATACTTTTACACAAACAGTGTTCCCTCAGGGAGTTTAGGAGCAACAATTATTAGCAAAGGAACGAGACACACACACACCCACACACTCACTCCACCAGTCATTTTAGAGTCTCCAGTGAACCTAATGAATATTATTTTGGGATGGTGAGTAAGGCAGAGTTCCATTCTTCTATTCTGAATACATAAATCAAATGAAGAGAACCTAAAACTTGAGAAACATGATCTCTCTCCTTTTTTAAGTTTTTGATGTGGTCTGGTCTATCATCTCTCTTTGGTTCCTACTTAAGGATCCCCTTCTTTAACACTGCATTGTGTTAAAGAAGGGGATTCTTTTTATTTCTTTTTCCCAAAACAGTGATTTTCATATTTTTTTATTCATATCATTCGGTGGTCTGCGGGACAGTTTATTTTCTTTGCACCATGTGGTCTGCTGGCTATCAAATATGGATGAGCCTCCATCTCTCAGAGGCTTAAAATCTTTGCTGCATATGTGAGCAGGCTGGTCTGTCCAGATTTAACCGTCATCTTTCCTTAGCACTAAAGGGGATTTCTGCATTTCAGTACCAATTTTCACCTCCTTTGCAGCTGTAACTCTTTACCTTGGCCAGTGGGGAATTTCTTACAGGTTTACTCATCTAAAAAAAACTTGTTCAAGACCTCTTTTCCTATTACTATATTAATTAACCATGATTGTAATCGGAGGCCGTTCCCTCTGCTATGCTGCTCAGCCTTTTCATATTCTGCCTCTGTCTCAGTTGTTGGATTAGAATTTTTGAGGTTTCACAAATGCAACCGGGTCAGTCAAATTAGCCGTTAGTCGCTAACCAGTCGGCAACCACAGCATGAGCATGAAGCTCTTCTGTCAAACCAATTTTAGCTGGAAATGAATACTATGAGATCCACCAACATTAAAAATAACATGAACACTATCAATGGACTTGATCATAGAGGTGTAAAGACAGTAAAAATGTTCCAATTCAGAGCAGAAGAGCTGCGTTTTAAGGGTAAATGCTACTAGCAGATAGAAATGATGAGACAAGGTGGCTTCCAAACTCAGTAGAAACCCAAAAGATCCCGTAGAAAACCACAACAATGAACAGTGATAAAGGAAGGAGGGGACTCGGAGGGATAAATAAGTACAATTTCAGACTGATAATGAGAATAAACACCATCATCAGACCTTTGCAAACATTTGACGGGGAGATTGAAGAGAAATCCTATTCTTGAGCTGCTGCTGCAATTTTGACTAGTTTGTATCAAAGCTGAGCAGTTTGTGAGCGATTTTAAGAGAATCCATATTCCATTTTCCAAAGCAATAGCTATAAAACATGATTATCCATCTACGCACAATGGAGCAGGAAAAATCCAATTCAGTTCACATCAAATGCCCCCGATCTGCTCTATAATCACTCAGCACAACTCAAGCATCATTGAAATTCAATGACCTCCTCTGTTACTGGGCAAATAAACCACACTTCCAGAATGTTCCAGAGAATGGATGGGAGATGACTTGTAATCCTGCGTGTTGTGTCCAGGTATGACGTGCCAGGCCAGAAGCTCCTACGTCAGCAGCGAGATCAAGTGGGGCTACCGCTTCACGCCCGTCCTCACACTGGAGGACGGCTTCTACGAGGTGGACTACAACAGCTTCCACGAGATCTACCAGACCGACACGCCCTCCTGCAGCGCCCGGGAGCTGGCCGACATGAGCAGCCGCGCCCGCCTGCCGCTGACCTGGTCGCTGGCCAGCAAGCTGAGCCAGCAGGGGCTGCCCGAGTCCGAGCAGGAGGGCCAGGAGACGAAAAGCAATCCGGAGAACGAGGGGAAAGGCCGGCAGGCCGAGAGGAACGGGGACGTCGCTAACTTAGAGAGCGAGTCCAAAGTGTAGCGGGCGCCGGACGGCGGGCAGAAGGCTGGCAGGTCAGTGTCAGACGGCCGGACTGTAAGCTAGCTGCCGGGGAGAACCACAGAATGAGGACCAACGAGTAGTAGACCAAGTATCCCTCCACCAAGAACCACTTTTTCTTAGTGACTCACACTAAACCCCCCCTAAACGCAACAAAAGCTGTAAACATGTGACCCCACACTGGACTGACGGTCCTGTGCGGGAGGTGCATGTTTCAAATGTAATGTGAGGTCCTCCGGACATGATGCCCATTATTTTTTCTATTAAGATATTCCTAGGGGGAATTTGCATAAGTATTTTTGTATATAGTATAAACAGTTTTGAATTCTTTGTTTTGTTGCAGTGTGAATATTTGACCAATGTTTGATACTAATACCTTTAGATTAGTTCTGTATATATTCTATGCCTTACTGTATGTATAAAACTTTCATTATTTGTTTTTCAGAACTATATCTAAGCATGTATAAACATTATCTACAGTTCATTTATATTGTATTGTGTATATACTGTATAACAATGTTATAAGAAAAACGTACATCTCAATGGATGCAAATTCTAGTTGAAACCAATGACAGATTCTTCCCCGAATAATAAGTGTTTATTTATGGTAGTACTACACAAAGCCATGATTTGCTGTTTACAGCTCACTGACTTAAGACAATGGCCCTTTAAAACTGCATTTTGTCACTTTTTGCACACGGGAGGCCTCTGGTCTGGTGGAGAATGTTAGAAAGCCCTCACATGTCACCTAAAAGTATCAACAATAAATAAACAGTAAGTTGCGTATTATGCACACAAACCTGTTGTGTTTATGATTTTTGAGTCTTATTTCCACAAACCACTTCTCGTTTGTTTTACCAAAAGAAAAAATGACATGATCATTGTATATGTAAATTAGGCTAACAGGCCTTATAGCTGCATTCTTTCTGACAGCCTGCAGAGGGCGACCTCTCTGGCTCTACTTCCCACTTAGCTTAAATAAATAAATTAGTATATTTAGTCCTCTCCTTAATGAGTGATCAATGATTAGTAAACAAGGTCTATTTTGAAATAAAAAGAAAAAAGTGCTTTTTACTCATACAACCGATTTGATGAAGTCCAAGATGACAATGCCTGAAGTGCAAAACACAAAGCTACATACATTTGTCAAATTCAGTCTATGATTTTCACCTCTTGATGTCTTACATTTGCCGATGTATATATGCACATTTCCTCTAAAAACTGAATGTAAGAGGGCCATTCCTTCATGAAATGATGAGGTCTATTCTGAATTTGTCTTCTCTTATGGCCTCAGACACACTGTTCAACATCATAACATAACATAATATGACATAATATAACATAACATAACACAACATAATATAACATAACGTAACATAACATAACATAACATAACATAGCATAGCATAACATAACATAACATAACATAATATAACATAATATAACATAACATAACAACATACCATGACATAACATAACATAACATAACATAACATAACATAACATAACATAACATAGCATAACACAATATAACATAACACAACATAACATAACATAAAATGACATAACATAACACAACATAACATAGCATAACACAACACAACACAACATAACATAACATAACATAACATAACATAACATAACATAACATAACATAACATAACATAACATAACATAACACAAGATAACATGACATACTAAGAGCAGAATGACTCAGAATGAGTGTTAAGTACATTTACACAATTGGAGAAATTATTTTGACAATCTCATTTAAGTGCAACCTTTTAAATACACTTCAGTGCAGACTGAAATGTGAAAACAAAAAAAACCAACAACAATCTTTTAAAAGTTGGATTAACAAACCCTAATCATGTTTTGGGGAGTTTTACCTGCAGTTAAGTCAAATGGAACTCAAACTAACTGCTTTGCTCTCATCAACTTTGACACAGACGTAATACAAAAATCCAGTAAAGAGAACAACAGAATGAACCAAAGGGATCAGATGCATCTTTTCGGTGAAAGAACAGAGAACATGACACATATGCAGCTGTCCAGCTGTCCAGCTGTCCAGTTCACAGCCGGGGCTGCTACTAATTTGGTGGTCAGTTGTTTTTTTGCCACCGCACCAGCCCAGGATCTCCACATCCGCTCTGAGGCCATCTGCTGCTGGTCAGCTGAGGTCACAGGTGGTCTGAGGGAGTGACAGATTCTCTGAAACGCCTTTGGAGACGGCTCATTAATCAGAAAAAAAAAAACCTTGTCCCATTGTGCTCCACAGCAGTCCGGTTAGTTTTACTTCTCTGACGTCTTACTTTCTGAGCTTGTGGCGTGCTGGACATCAGGCTGGTCAGAATCCGACCGCTGTCCATACAGTTTATTTTTGGTAGAGTTGTGGGGGATCTGGGGCCTATCTGAGCTGTCATTGGTCGACGGGCAATAACCTTCCTGCACAGGTCACCGGTCCATCACAGGGCCACACACAGATGAACACACACACACACACACTCCCATCCATTCATTCTTTCTCCCATCAGTCAACATCACATGAACGTTTTTGGATGGTGGAAGAAAAGTGGGGTCAGTTTCTTCAAAAGCAACAGTTAAGACACCATCTTTCATTTCTTTGTGTGGCAGAAAAATCAGTCCATTTGTGAAAAACAGGGAGAGAAAAATAACACCCGAAGGTGAGGACTATTTTTTAGTCTGAGTGGAAAAGGCTCAAGGGCAATTTGCATGTAAATCAGCTGAATGTTGGTGAGACTCAGGAGAGGTCACTAAGGGTCATCCCAGCCCTTCTGGCCCATCATCAGACCTCGCTGAGGCAGCTGCTCGGTTTGGGTATACGTGGATTAAAGGAAGAGGGCCTCACAGCCAGAGGGTTTTGGGTTTGAGTCCCCGGGGGGAACCAGGACCAGAGGGTTCTGGGTTGGAGTCCCCGGGGAACCAGGACCAGAGGGTTCTGGGTTGGAGTCCCCGGGGGAACCAGGACCAGAGGGTTCTGGGTTGGAGTCCCCGGGGAACCAGGACTAGAGGGTTCTGGGTTGGAGTCCCGATGGGAACCAGGACCTTTCTGGGTGGTTCTGCATGTTCTCCTGTGTCTGTGGGTTCTCTCCGGGTTCTCCGGCTTCCTCCCACCGTCCAAAAACCTGCATGTTAGGTTGGTCGGACACTCCAAACTGCCCTTAGTGTGAATGTGTGTGGTTGTGTGTCTCTGTGTGACCCTGTGATGGACTGGGGACCGTCCAGGGTGACCCCGCCTCTAAGCCATTGACCACTGGGTTAGGCTGCAGTCCCCCCCATGACCCCATTAAGGAATAAGCAGTGATGAAAATGGAATAAATTAAGATTGGACAGATAGTGGCAGGAAGAAGGTTTACATTTTTAAATATATTTGTATGGATTCACATAGATCCAGTCTTTAAAAAAGAACCTGAAGAACCTGCCCAAATGGACCAAGAAGAACTCCAGTAATAAAAACTTAACCTATGGAGGTTTAAAACGTTTTTGTTGTCTGGCCTATATCTGGTTGGCAGTTTGACTCATGAGAAAAAGATGTGCGGTGGTCAAAAATGTTCTACTTTGTATCATTTGTATTTAAATCACTTGAACAGACATGCAATTAGACAAAAAGGACATTGATTTTTCATTTTTCTGTTATCTTTATTCCACTCAAATAAAAATATGAGTAATTCTTGTGATTTTTCAACAATTAGCATCATGAAATTAAATACATTTTCAGTATTTCTCTTAATTTCTTTTTTTTTTTTTAAATGACTTGAAAATGAAAATGAATCTCCCTCATTTAACATTTAAAGCACTTCATGTCACTCACAGTCAGTCTCACAATTAAGTTTTATAACTGAAATGCTCATGGTAGTTAATACCTGCAAATATGAAATATATTCCATATTTCTTTAACATGTGCAAGTCCGCCTTCCAAATAAAATATATTTTTTAAAAAGGAAATGTTGCAAATGTATAGATTATTTCTGACTAAAAAGTGATACATCAACAGGGGAAAACCACTAATGAAGGTTTTGTGGCACAGATTTAAGAATAAAAAATAAAGAACTTTCTTTATTTTGAAATGAAGGAGATGGTCACCATAAAAAGATTACCAATAACCAAGAAATAATTTTGCTTTGGTGTTTTCCCCCTGTCTTTAAAATCTTAGATCTTTTACATTTCGTGGTCTAGAGTGATGTCAAACATGACAAATGGAGTGCCTTCTGCTCCTGAGTAACAGGACATGTCAGTATAACACATTAGCAAACATTGTACCGGCTTTTTCATGTTCTGTTGTCCCTTTGCAGGCCCTGAAATGAAGATGTTATCGAATTAGACAGGAGTGAGAGGACCATTAAGCCAATGAAACAGAAAAAACAAACAGAAATCGCAGTAGTTTGACTGACAGTCCCACACTCAGACTGTTCTTTACAATACGCAGTGCATCCGCAAGTGACCAAAATCCATATATACAAAGACAAAATCATTCAATTCAAACGTCTTTTTTTCAATATGTTGAAAAAACTCTTCTGTCCAGCTGCTGAACAGCTGGGAGAAGCTGACCAGTGTCCTGCTACCAGTGGTGCTGCTTTTGTTGCTTGTTTGTTCTTTTGTCTTCCCCGTGTCCTTTTCTTTCTCTCTCTGCCTGAAGGATTTTTCTCCTTTTGGGGTTACTTTGTTTCTCTTTGCTCCTCGGTCAGCTTCGGCATTACTGGACACGTGGAAAGTTTTGCAACAAAAATAAATAATTAAAGTAGCGTTTGGGGGGCTTCTCACCAACAAAGCCTCCCTTGGCAAAGCAGACGTGTTCAGCCTAAGACGGTGCTCAGGTTTCAGTTCTGCTGCCACAACGCTGAACAGGACAAGGTCCAAAGAAAAGAAATGCCTGAAAGCACAGTCCATTCTGAACAAACAGTACACTGTTAAGACATGAAAAGCGTTTTCTTCAAGTAAGACAGTGGAGTGGTTCCTCAGACAAAAACACAGAGAACGTGGACAGATGTCTACAGTTTAGGTTTAGCGTGTTTTTAAATTCAGCCTCTGAATTAGCTGTAGTGTGGAAACTGAGTGCTTTCAGTGGGATTCAATCATCACAAAGGCACACGCACAACTGTAAGACCTGAAATGTAACACAGCACATGGTGAAATGTAATGAAAATGGTCAAATATCAGCATTCCCATAAAAGAATCCAATAAAAGTAAATAAAAAATGAAAGTTTGTGTAAGTTGGTCAACTTGTATTTCTATGTATCAAAAGCCAAACATGATCTATTGGTGGAAACTAGCATGCTAGCACAAATAAGACGATTCTTCTCAGTTAAGAACTACCTGCTCTGACATAAAAGCTTTTTTTAAAAGCTAGTTACAGCTGCTGGTCAATTACTTTTTGAGACTTTTGGCTAAAAAAGTTCACAAACCATTATTATTATTTTTTTTCCATTATTCTTTTTCATGCTAGTTAAAACAAACAGAGCAAGGCATTGGCAGTTAGCACGCTAGCATTAGCTAACAAAGCTCTCTGCCTGAGGAAGAATTAACGAAAGTTTTTCAAGGGCAAGGCATGATTTGAAATGATATCATAGTTTTTTTTTGTTCTTTTTTTGTCAAGATGCCTTCAACACACAAAGTGCCTCCATCTCTGCCGTGTTGTTTGTCTTTTTAAAGATACACAACAACAGCCATGAAACATTCCTAAAGGCTGAGTGAGATTATAAAACGTGGCCTTTTAAAGAGTTCTTAGTCAGGGTTGGATTCTAAAAGAAATTCTGAAGGTACCTTTTTGAACGTCTAGCTCTCATTGAATGCAGCATTTCTATGTCTAAATCAGAATTCCAACCATTGTATTTTGCCCTAAGACCTATTAGGTTGGGAGCAATTTTTCGACCAAACTAAGAGACGGATGAAGGAAAATGGGGTAGCGTGACTCATAAAAACAGCCTCCACCACGCTGGTCTTGCTCCGCTCCGGTATAAAGGTCAACGCTGTCCAGACGGCTTGTTATTGCTCGATTCGTGGATTAAATAAAATTGAAAGTGACGTTTAAGAGGATTCATGTAGATGAGTTAGACGATTAAAAAAGAAAGGCACCCAAAACAAAGGAACGTTTGGGGTGTAAATGTTGCTGTGGCTGGGGTTTAAAATGCCAAAATTCATATTATTATTATTATTATTTGTGCGCGTTACATTAAACAGGCGAGGAGGTTTTTTTAAGTAGGTATAGGCTATTAAATATGAAAGGCATTTCTGGCTTTGTGAGCTTCTCTAGCCGGTGAAAACCTGGGGTTTGAGGGGGGAGGGCAGGTTGCTGTTGTCCATGTTGTTTGCATCGATGGCCGAAACGCTGGACGCTGCCACCTCCAGCGGGTATTTCTCCAAGATGTCCGTCACCTCCCGCTGGACGCTCCGGGGCCAGGAGAGCAGCTCCTGCTGGAGGCTGCGGGCGGCGTCCAGCAGGGCGTCCTGCCGGCCGCTCAGGCTGGTCAGCAGCTCCAGGTTGTGGTCGAGCTGCACCAGGACGGGGTTGGCGGCGCTCGCGGCCGCCGCCGCCGGACCGGAGGGCGGCCACTCGCCGTCCGAGCTGCCGTAGCGCGGGGACGCCTGGCCGGACATGTAGCGCTCAAACTCCTCGGGGGAGAGATTCAGGGACTGAGCGTCCAGCTTCTCTATGAAGGCCGCTGCACAGCACTGGAAGAGAAGAAAACACAGCGGGCAGAAATGAAAACGGAGACCCAGCCAGACAGAGCCAGACGGGCTTCATGCTAAACAAATAATTCCACACTATGCTTCTCCAAATACCTCTGGAACCTATAAAAAAAAGTTAAAAAAGGAAAGATATGGATGGGGTAAAATATTAG